TCTTTTGCACCTTGCTATTTTTTAACTTCTCATTTCATGTAGAACACCTTGGTGTACTACATATACTGTTTGTATATCATAAAACATTTTACAGTATTGGGTTAAATTCTGCTTTCTCACTTTTTATCTCATTCCACAGGTCCTTGATCTAATCTGAATACATGCACTATTACTGTAAGCCTTTGCATAGGTGCCCAGATACAATAGTTTAAATGTCACTCCAAGCAGCAAATATCCCACACCCCTTCCTTTAAAGCGCAGGCATTGTACATCCCACCTCCAGGACTTGAGTCCGGCTAACTGGTTTCCCTGAATCCCTTCACAAAATATTACCCTGCTCACACTTCAACACACTCCACCATTCATCTCCATTCACTCCTATCTAACACAATTACACATGCCTGCTGCATGTCCAAGCCCCTTGCACACAAAACCACTTTTACCTTCCTCCCTCCTTCCTTTCCTAGATGTCCCCTACCCCTCCTCCCCTCCACTACAGATTTATACACCCTCCAAGTCATATATCTTCTTAATCATTTTAATTTTTCCTAACCAGGTAGATTTTTTTTATTTAACAAAATTGGATATATCTGCAGTGTACTGCTAACTTATTCTGCATGATAGATACTTTTTGGGAACAGAAGCTAGCTATATTTTCTATCATATTCTCTCACACGGTATACCTGGAGAGAATATCACAGTGGATTTCATACGAACTGGGAATCTTCAGTAGGGCATGAGGATACTGTCAAGTATTCCATTAAATGTTTAATAGCTGATAAGATAAAAAAATATCCTGTTTTTTTTTATATTCATTTCTCCTGCTTGCCCATCAATTTATATATTTGTTGATGTAATGCTCTAACATTGTCATTTCCAGTTATGTTTATAATACCTGAATTGCTATCATCTCTCTTATACATGACATAAAAAGACCTATGATGATAAACCTGTCAAACTTAAATGTTAATATTTAATGTGCAATGATCATGTGCCATTTCTGGTGCACTTTTTCTAGATTCTTACTTTATCCCATACATAAACCATTATTATGCTTTAAAAACAATTTTAGTTATATGCTTCTGGTGACATAACTGTTTTGTCACTAAACATGTACAATTGTGTGTTAAGACCTGAGGATGTGAGGTCAAGACTTGCATGCACTCAGTGTAAGAACTGTGTGGTAAAATGTGGGGATGTGATGTCAGACTTGCATGCACTCAGTGTAAGATGGGTTTAAGTGATGTTGCCATTGTATGAGTGTGTTTATTGTTTTGTTAATAAGGATGGTAAGCATGATAGTGAGAAGATTAGAAATATCTGGGTTGCACTAGGTACGTGTAATTATCCATTAATTTTTACCTATTTTTATTTACAGGACTGTAACTACAGTAGTTTTATAGTGTGCCATCTTCCTTTTTAAGTTTGTCATATATTTTCTTAATTCACTGATTGTAGCATGTACTCTCCTCTTAAATGTCATTTAGGTTCATATTCTACCCCTTGTTAAAAAATTTTCTAGCAGAGTATTCTTTTGGCATCGTATTTTTTCCCAGTTTACAATTACAGCTCCTATTTTTCCTTTTAAAAATCTTTTTCTTATCCTTTTATATATTTTTACTGTACTGGATGTGTCCCACCAAGGTACAGTGACCGAAGCAAAGGAAACTTTCAGAATCAATCATTCAGTGGCTGTCTTGCTAGAAGTGTGCAGACATTACAAATTCAAAGGACCCATTTCTACCCGTCCTTCAGAATACGGACACTGTACTTCATACCCCCCCAGGTCTCAAGTCCTGCTAACTGGTTTCCTGGAATACCTTCATAAATGTTACCTTGCAAGGTAACACTTGTGGATTTTTTTTTTTAACTGGGAGTAATTTATATAGTCTTTATCCCTATAACTGTCTTTAACTCTGGAAGCCATCTATATTTTTTATACGTACTTCAAGTAACTTGTATTCTTCAGTTTGTGGAACAGTTTTGTATCATCTCTGGATGTTTTTTCTGTTTTATGAATGTTTGTTTTTTAGGCAGACACCACACTATTGCATTTTCTCATTTTTGAAGTAAATAGCTTTTTAATAATTTCACCATCTGTAATTGTATCCTAGAGTTATTTTGAATTTTTCCAGTATATTATGGTATATGAATTCCTTGCAATTACATTTGTGTATTTGTCAGAGAGCATCAAGGAAAGTGAGGGGTGCCATCTTTTTCTTCTTCCAGAGTGAATTGAATTGAATGGAAAATTCCACTGTGGATGTATAGGTTGTATTTCTGGGGAGTGATCATTAAGATGTCATCCACATACCTAAGTCAAGTAATGACGGGAGGACAAATGCCAGTGAAACTGGTGGCCTCAAGATGCTCCATGTACAGTTTGGTTAAACTGCAAAGGCTGAAGACTCCATGGCTATACCACATTTTGGTTGATAGTGTCATTAGAAGAGAAAAAAGTTATAAGTTGCACACACTTCAATCAGATTAATTAAATCTTGGAAAGGGAAGGGCAACAGTGTGTTGGGTCACTGGTTTGGTACTTGGGGTACATGAGTCAAGAAGGTTGTAACATTTGAACTGGCCACTTTTTTGCTGCTAATGTTGAGGTCAGCTGATCAGTTCAAAAGGTCTTAGAGTGATGAAGATGGCTGTAGCTGATAATTACAAGAAATCTGGCAATCAGCTGGCTAGCTTATGCTCTATATACCCAAGAGATCCATCACCTTTTGTAATAGTATCTGGAGAGACCATGCACCTTAGCTGCCTTCGGGTTGTTAGGAAGTATCTATTTGTTGAGTTTATTGTCCTAGACCTAATGTGCATGGGTTATGTAAATAATTTTGCCCATTTGTGAATTGTTAAGCACGTATATATAATAGAGAGAATACATATACATAAACATATAATATAATTTATTTATGAGTTTTTGTGTTTTAACTCATCGGCCGTCTCCCACCGAAGCAGGGTGACCAAAAAGAAAATAAAACACTTTCACCATCACTTATACTCACTGTATTTGCAGAGGTGCCCAGATATGACAGTTTAGATAGTCACTCCAAACTGCCATTATCCCAAACCTCTCCTTTAGAGTAAAATAGGAAATGAAGAACCCCTCAAAATAAATACAATAATGTAATCTATGTTTATCAGAACAATAGTTAAAAATTCTTGCATCACTGTATATCCAAAAATGGTTTAGATACGCTGTAACATAATGAGAGAATTATTGGCTAATACAATCAATTGTTATAATTATTCTGGGCTTCACTTGTCAGTGTAATCACATTTTAATTGTAAAATATATACTGCAGTTAAAATTAATTTAATTGATGTAATAAATAACCACCTTCCTCCATAAGCCATGCATGGCATAGGAGGCGACTAAAATGCTGGGAGCATAGGGCTAGTAACCCTTCTCCTGTATAAATTACTAATGTAAAAAGAAATAAAACTTCTGTTTTTTCTTTGTTGAGTCACCCTGTGTCGGTGAGAGACAGCCTGTGTGTTAAAAAAAAAAAAATAACCAGTACACTAATACTTTAAAATAATACAAAATATGAATAACTTGTAATATGGAAGGAGCCAAGCTACTGCCACCTCCTCCTCAATTTACTTCTGCCCTGAAGGTTAGCAAGATGACAGTGTGAAATATTGCCTCGATATGTTACTAGGCTGTCATCAGAGTTACAGTAAGGGCCAAGCTTTATTAAATCCCAGTGTTCATTTGGAGTAGTACAGAACCCATACAGATATAGTGCTTTCCATTAGCCAATGGATAGTAGGATTGTAAAGAGTGTTAGGGTAAAATACAAAGGATCTAATTGATTCACAAGCAATTTGCACCATAGAGAGGTAAGGTAGCAGACTGAATATTGGAAAATCCCATAAAGGTATAATGGAAGCAGAGGGGGCTAAATGATTATATATAGGGCAGCTTTGAGGTATGATTTTATTATTCCACTCCTGAGAAAAAGTTCTCGTGGGAAAATATGGCATAAGAGACATTGATAGATTACTTCTGATAATTTTAGCATCTGCAGTGGAAGAAGCTGGATTTCCCATCGAAACAATGCCTTTTAGTTCCAGCTACTTTCTGGCATGTCGTGTATTCCTTCTCTCCTATTTTCTTTAGTCTGTGTTCCTGCAGTACTTAAGTGTATTATTGACACATTGTCAACTGGCAGTTAGTCATATTCTTTTACATTTTTCTTGTTGTGCATATTTTTCAAATGCATTTATTTATTTAAACTATTTTGTACTTGTTCATTTAAGGTAGATAATATGTATATTGTATATAAGGAGCTGTCATAGTAGAGCATAATTTCCTGAAAATTTTAAATTTTCACATATAATAATAGATGTCTTCAATCCAGTGGATATACACAAGAAATTATCAAGGTTTGATATTACTGGTTTCAGTGGGTGATGAAAAGAGTCCATGATCTTCTGTTGTAGTTAAAATGCTTGTGCATGATGTGTAGGGGAAAATATTATATTTAGCTTGGTTTGCATGTACTAATGTTCGTTTTAACTATTAACCTGGGATTTGAAAAGGAAACTTGAGTGTGTTTTTGATCCTTCTTGGACCATTATCAACTCATGAATATTCCAGGATTGACTGAAACAGCTGTAAATGTCTCTCATAATTGTTGGCCAATAGTAAATTATTTCAGCCATGGTATAGACCTGTCTTTCATTAGGCTTTTCTTTTGGTTCTTTTGTAAGAGTACTTTAGATATGTAATACCAAATGTAGCTTCACTTTTCATTGTACAATATATTCTTTCACTTTTAAGACCAACAGTGGGAGGGTTGTGCTAATTACTCACACTTTGCATGTAAGTACACTTTCACAGTTTTCATACTTTTTGTTTAAGTTATTGATTGGTGCTAATCTTGGTAAACAATAAACCAGTATGAATTGCAATGCCACTAACAAAGTTGTGTTTGACTCTGTTCACAGTTATTCAGCATAGGAGATGTCTATGTTTACCTTAAGCACTTCATGAAGAAAATGGCATAATTATCATTCTTTTCTTTTTTTTTCTTATTTATCTCAAGGAAATTACCAAGAAAGTAATCCAGGTAAGGTTGATTTTAGTTGATGTTTTGATATATAAGTTGTTAATATGAAAATTAAACATCTTTAAAATATGCACATTTAAGTCTTTTTTTTTTTATATACATAAGTAGGTTTTCATGGGATATTAAAATGTGAATTCTGCAGGTCAGACAATGTTTTTTCACTTTTTTTTGGCTTCAGTACGTTTGAATAAGGTATGTTAAAGTAACTGATGTATGGACAGGTGAACTGAGAAGATATGTTTTTTTTTAATTTTTGCAATATGGGGGTTCTTATTATGAGATGACACAAAGTACATGCTCTCAGACTTGGATAACATTGGCCAGAGCTTCAGGTGCCATGGGTTTTCCATACCAGTGTGGCCATGACTAAGATATGTTATGCACTATTACTGTGTGTTTGCCATGCATGGAGACCCATATATATAGGGCTGTTTGTGTATGTATTGGCTCCCCTTGATAGGTTCTGTGGTGAGTAGGAGGATAGAGAGAGTTTTGTTGATGAGTATGTACTGTGCTTGTGACTTGTTAAGGGGACAACCAAGCCAGCGAGAAATTCCATTCTGGATGATCCTGACATGTCTCCCATTGTTCTTTTATCCTAGAGCCAAATACTCTTGGTCAGTCCAGTTCATTTACCACTTCATTCCTCTCACACACACTTTTGCATTTGCCAGATTATCCTCTCATTATGAATCACATTTCTGTAATACACTACTGTAATGTGTTTAATTTTTTATTTTAACACGGTTGCCATCTCCCACTGAGTGGGGTTAATATTGAGTTTTTTTTTTTCCCCCAACATGCGACCATCTACCCATGAAGCAGGGTTTGGCCCAAAAAAGACACACCACACTTTCACTATCATTCACACATAATAACTGTCTTTTCAGAGGCGTGGAAATATGACAGTTCAGATGTCACTTCAAACAGTAAATATCCCAAATCCCTCCTTTAAAGTTTAGGCATTGACTTCCACCTCCAGGACTTAAGTGCAGGTAACCTTTTTTCCTGAATTCCTCCACAAATTTATCTCTGCTCACACTCCAACAGATTGTCCAAGTTAATATTGATATTAATAAGATATGATGGCCACAGAAAAATTTGTGTGTAGGGAAAGCCTTTGAGCCAGAAATTACGTGGATAATTTAATTTATTCATTGGTTGCTTATTAATAAAAATGCTGGATAATTGAAACCTGCAATAAGGAAGAAAGGGTATTTGTAGGGATAGATTCATTGACAGTTGTTCATTACATCTGTCTTAGGTTTGTAGGGGCAACTGTATACATCTCTCTCTATAGTCTACTGATGTGACTTCAGTATATAAGACCAAAATATACTGTACTACTGTACTTGTACCCGGGCCGGATTAAGAAGTCCCCGGGGCCCTAGGCTATTCAGATTGCGGGCCCCTTTGAGTTAGGGGTTTAAGCGAAGCTACCCCTTCCAGTTTGGGGGGTTTGGAGGGGGTTGGTGAGCCTGTTAAGGGTCTAATTAATTTACTTTTCTGGCTATTTAGATTAAATTTAATAGGGAAAGTACATCAAGACAACCAAAACCATTTACAACAGCCATTATAAAAATCTGTTAAATCATGCATTTAAAGAGAATAAACTCAAGACGCATAGTATACTAGATTAGGCTATTAAAGTAGTGACATCATGTACCTATTATATTCAGCATAACCACTACAGCACTATTATTCCCTTTATAAATCACTGACCATTATTGTTATCATTCATCATGCAAAAGGGACTATAAAATCATATAAACTCAAGAAAGTAAAGAATTGTTTATATTCCAGGCACTTCTTAAATAAACTTTTCTCTGGATTTCCATATTGGCAAATCATCAATTATTTCTGAAAATCAATATTTCTTGTTAGATCAGACTCAGTGGTCAAAAAGGGCTAGGTTACACAATTTTTTCTTGGCTCATTGTTGAAACGGAGCTGGTTTTTCATCTTTTCAAAACAAAATGAACGTTCCCTTCACAGTTAGTAGCTGGAAGTGTTGGGTAAAAGGCAATACACTATGTCAACATTAGGGAGGTTTTCTGAGATACCTGCATTTCTTTAAATGTTTCAAAGCAGCTGAGAGTGCACATTTTTTAAAGGTGGAGCTTTAATCTGATTCATATACCCAAAAAAAATGAACTATTTCTTCAACAAATGTGTCCTGAACATCTGCTAAAAGGGTGTTTTGCAACTTTAATGCAGCTTCTCTCAATTCTGCATCTGGCATAGTAGTAATTTTGAACAGAAATCCAAACTTGTCATTGAGATTCTGGTAGATTCTTTTCTTTTCATCAATTCTGTAATCAGTGAATCCAGAAAGACGAAGTATGTAGCTGTCTTACATTTCTGCCTTGGTAGCAACACAATTTCATTGTCTGGCTCTTCAAAATTGCGTTCCTCTTCCTTGACCGCTGATGATCAGCCCGGTAACTGAAATCTCTCACCAGCAGTTTAGCTTTCTCTTCAAACATTTCAAAAGCTTCATCATTGCGAAATGAGCTTACAATTCCACTAAGCCTACTGAGTTAGCCAAGTGCCATTTCAATTTCAATTTTCTGAAGTGTCTTGTTCGTGGCATTAACCATTAGTATACAGTCCCAAAGCACACAGAGTAAGGCCAATTCAAAATCTCCAATTTTGTTTGCTAGCTGCTGCTTCGCTTCTTGTAGTTGCTGTCTGGTCTTCATCCTCTGCTATTTGGATCAAAGCAGAACGTATTTCAGCAAAGCTGTCTTTCAAAGCATGTGTTGCATCATGCTGTGCTGACCACCTTGTTGTTGTTAATGATTTGATGACATCTCCATGAGTGGTTGACTTGAGTATACTCCACCGTGCGTTGAAAGCAGAGAAAAAATTAAAGTGTGCTTGAAAAAGTCCAAAAATGAAACTGCAGCGACAAAAACACTCCGCAGCACATGACCCAACAAGATTAAGAGAATGTGCTGAGCAGGCACTATTCAGCAAGGGGGTTGATTTGTTTGATACGGGCTTGCAATCCTTTATATTTACCCGACATGTTCTTCATTGTGTAGCTCTGGGCCACGGCAATCCATAATAGAGAGATAAATGTTCAAGCAGAGTATCCAGTACTACATTCATCATTGTTTCTCCATCATGGCCTGAAAGAGGAATGAATTTTATAAAGCGCTCTACAGGCTTACCACTGGAGTCAACAAAGCGAACAATCAGTTTGTTTTTCCCAAAATGAGAATCCAATAAGCCTTTTTTTTCTGTGCACGAAATACACTGGCTAAAATGCAGCTCTGTGAGTTGGTGCTGTTTTCATGTTCCTCGAAATGTTTGGGAATTTTTCCAGTCATGAACCCCTGTGTGAAGGTATTTTCTTGGTAGAAAATAGTTGCATGCTGAACAGTACACTTTTCCTGAGCTTTCAGAGTTTACCATCCATTATTTTTTTACAGTTTCTGAATTTGCAAGCTTCCTATAAAACATAGATTCAATTCAATTCAATTCAATTCAAAGTTTATTCTCTATAAGGATTACAATGCTGAGTTTACAGAATTTTGGTTATTGTGTGGGTTAGATGACTTTAAAACAATGACGACTTCCATCATCATAATTCCTTGCTGATTTCCTAAAGTCAGTGTTCAGAGTTTGACTGAATTTTTTCTGCAATGAAAGCATTACTTAGAGAATCTTGGAATTACATTTGGTCATGAGGCAGGATCTTTCAAGACAAATCCTGTGGATGAAATGTCTGTTGAGACATTGAGAGGAGACACAAAAGAAGTAGATGCTGGCTGAGAAATAATGGAGGGAGGGTTTCCCTTTATGATCTGACGTATCTGCAGATTCAACTGTACTGGTAACATCAGAAACTGTTTTCGTGAGCATGTCTGTGAACTTTCTGCAGCTTCCTACATCTTTTTTTTTCTGTTCTTCTTCTTGAATTTTCTCTTTCTTTTCTGTGACCCACTCGCTTTAAAAACGTTCAACATAATGTTCACGAGATGCCTAATGAGGATGTATCACTGTCTGTAATCATGCAAATACAAATTTTGCATTATCAATTATTATTAATTTTTTTAAATTTTTATTAATTTTTTTTTTCTGTCAAATTGGGGGGGTATGGCCCTTGTAGCCCCCTTTTCCTCTGGCTGCGCATCTAAAAATTCAAAACATTACCAGAAAGGAGTCATATACAGAACTTTTACCATAGAAATTTGGTTATGATTTTTGGGGTACGAATATTTTACTAATTCATCCTCCTTGATCTCCAATTTACTTAACAGAAAAACCCTACTGAGTCCAAGAACAATGCACAATGGTATTTATATTACCATTTCATAACTAAACTAATCATTATGTTTTGCATGATATATGGCCTACCACCATAATAAGGACATGAAATTAAAGAATGCAGGGACAATTTTCAGTTTCACCCAACCAACGATTTTCTGATGTGGCTAATGTGTTTCTGGGGGAAAAATGTAGTAAATTAATTGATGTTCTACATCACTTTCCGTCGCAACTTGAAAACTAAGCATTTTCGACGGAAGTGATGTAGAACATCAAACAATTGAGATCTGTTATTGAAATGATAAGATTAAAGACAGGACAAAGTGCTTTTAAAACCTACAAACGGGAAATCAGTTTGCATTTTTAGGGTTTCTTTATAGTATTTTTACCAAAAATGCGTCTTTACTGGGGCCATGGTCTTTACTGGTCAAGTAACCCTATCAGGTACCTCCCTAACATTTAGAGCGAAAAACAAACATTTATCCATACAATCAATGTCTACAACAACACTTCAGTTAATTTGTCACAGTACAAGTCTAGGATAACGTGTAATTTTCTACAGAAAATTGGAGAGGAATCCTCCCGTACTCACCCATTAGTGGGGAAACACAGCTGTTCTGATGTAAACAAAGGCGTGTTGAGTGTTGCCATCTATGGTTAGGTTTATTTATTTTTATTTGAATTTTATTTCATTATTTATTTTTGTTTTGATTAATTTTAAAAAA